CCGCACCTTCCTCCTCCTCCAGGAAGGCGCGTCCGCCCGTCTTGCCTCGCGTCCTCCCGGCCTCTTCCGGCTCCGGACGCCGGGAAGGCATTTCTCAATTGAATGCTGAACCGCAGCCGCTTGCGGAGAAGGGAAGGGACTTCCGAGCTGCCATCGGCTGCTGCATTTCTTCGCATTTTTCTGGTGTCTCCATTCTTAGCGGTTGGCATCAGTGATTGTTTCGGGAGACAGAAGTTGGAGGTGGAGTCATGGTCTTTGCATGGTCGTTTCTAAAGGCGAACTCAGAGCCCCTCTCAGTTGCCTGTCACAGTTAGCGATTTTAAGGATGTGGGAACTGAGATGTGAGTCACGTTTTCTTAGGGTCACATGTCAGATCATGGTAGCTTCCTGAGGGTTCCCTGACATCCAGCAAGGGGCGTGCAGTCAGCTAGGATTTGGCCTCTGGTGTATCACGTAATTCATTTAATTTCACAGCAACCCTTACACGAGGAGATCCTCCTCGTTTTAGAGTGATGACGCCTAAGGACATTACCCAACACCACATAGGCAGCCGGTAGCAAGGCTGGACTTGAACCCAGATCACCCCTCGCCAGAGCGTGGGCCTTTCCATTGCAGGTGCTGTGGCCCAGGCAGTGGGAAGGCTACCCCTGTGTGAGACCGTGGGAACCACGAGGGCTGGGAATGACGCAGACTGTGGCCAACAAGAGGCCACTTTGAAAACTATTGGGAGGAATTGGGTTCCGTTCCCCAGTGTATGGCTTTAAAACCGATAGGTTAGAATCTATAGGAGGCCTTGCTTCTGCTGAGTGAGGTGCTGGGACACCCCTTTTGAATTGGGGCTGAATTCTGCGGGGGCGGGGGGGTGTAGACCACTGATGTTCTTGACATCGGATTGCACGGTGTTGTGTTGATGACAGTGATACTTCTTTTTCCTGCCCCCTAAATTTTAGGGCTGTTTTGTTCGTTTTGTGTCTGGCTCTGGAAAGTCATTCTGATCTATCTAGTAAATTACTTGGGGGGAACTTTTTATTTTAATTTTTTTTTAAACCCTCACCCGAGGATATTTTTCCATTGATTTTTAGAGAGTGGAAGAGAGAGGGAAAGACAGAGCGAAACATTGATGTGAGAGAAACACATCCATTGGTTGCCTCCTGCACAAGCCCCCCAACCAGGTCCGGGATTGGGGAGGAGCCTGCAACCGAGGTACATGCCCTTGACCGGAATTGAACCCGGGACCCTTTGGTCCCGTCCAGTAGGCCGACACTCTATCCACTCAGCAAAACTGGCCAGGACTATTTTAATTTTTTAAATTTCGTTTTTGAACTTTAAAAATCTTCCCTTTCATACTATGATTTATCTGAACATCTGCTAATTCCACGTTTAGTGTTATGAGTGATATTTTGATTCAGGGACGTGTAGGGCGTTTTATTTGTTTGTTTTTGGTTTGGTCTATGGTTTGAACATGCTTTCCTAACTAGAATAGTCTAGTTCAGTGGTCGGCAAACTCATTAGTCAACAGAGCCAAATATCAACAGTACAACGATTGGAATTTCTTTTGAGAGCCAAATTTTTTAAACTTAAACTCTATAGGTAGGTACATTGTTATTAACTTCATTAGGGTACTCCTAAGGCTTAGGAAGAGCCACACTCAAGGGGCCAAAGAGCCGCATGTGGCTCGCGAGCCACAGTTTGCCGACCACGGGTCTAGTTCATGCAGACCAAGAATCCGATCCTGTCAGCATTTGCACTGCTTGGTCTTGTCAGCTGAGGTTAAATTAGTTTTTTCCACAATGACTAAATGTGATTTAATGGAAGACATCGTTAAGGGATCAGACTTCTCTATTAGAGAAAAAAACATAAGTTCTTTCAAATGCTTGTTACCAAGTAAGAGAGAGACTAGAAAAGGGGAATTAGGGTTATGAATACCACGTCACAAGGAGTATGGGAAAAATTCATGTTTAGCCTGGAGAGGAAAGGCGCAGGTCAAAAACACAGGGAATCTGCAGGATATCCTGTTGAAGAGGGATTTGATTTGGTCACTGATGCCCGGAGCTAAAAAGTAGGACCTGCTTAGTTTTTTCACTGACTGATTCCATCTGCCACTCACAGACCACAGCACAGTATGGGGGCAGTTCCCGAAGGGTTGGACTCAGCCTCCAGCTCAGTCTGGGAGGCGCACAGGACAGATGTGAACGGTTGGGGTGGGAAGGAGAGGCTCGACAGTACAGGTCTGAGTGTTTAGGGGTTCCGTTGAGAGACCCCAGAAGGAATGTTAGTGAGGTGCCCTTGCGTTTGGTCTCAAAGGCTCTGGGCAGGGAGTGAAGGTGGTTAAACTGAAGGATGAGTGAACAGATCTGTATTTTGAGGTGACCCGCCTTCCTATCATCTCAAAATACAGATCTGGTGGTTCGATTCTGGTCAAGGGCACGTGCCCGGGTTGTGGGCTCAATTCCCAGTGTGGGGCGTGCAGGAGGCAGCCGATCCATGATTCTCTCTCATCATGGATGTTTCTGTCTCTCTCTCTAAAAAATCAATAAAAACATTTAAAAAAATAATAAAGTCAAGGCAAAGGAATTGAGTATAATTTTGCTGGGTTGAGTGAGTAGGGCCACATCTCAAAACAGGGCTATCTCCAGATCCAAATTTGGTTTTTCAAATGCGTGTGGTGCTTTGAAAATAAGGGTGTCTTGCTGCCCCATTTTCCTTAGCGTTTGCAAAACTACTTTAGTGAACCAAGATGTGTATCCATTGCAAAGGGCCATTCCATTCTGCTAATTTTTTTTTGGTCTACCTCCGGCTAGAACAATCTGGAAATTTCTGCTCTGGTGGCTGCACTGAATTGCAACTCATTTTATCAGCACCACCAGAGGCCTTTTATTTACTATCAACACTGCAACACCAAACATGGTCAGCGCTCAACTACTGGGCCACACCGGCCGGGCTTCTCCTTCATCTTTTAGTCCAAGGCCTCATATCCCTAGACTAGTTGACCTTATTACAGAATACCTGTTCTCACCTTCTTCGTATGTCCATTGGAAATACTATTTCCTGGGTTTTGTTTCTATGGTCTGAAGTGTTTTGTGTCCTGACTGGTAACATGTACCCCCACATGACAGTCCTCATTTCACTAGGTCGGCCTGTGGGGTGAAAGGAAAGATCTTTCCGAAGATACTAACCTACTAAAGTTTTAGGGTGAAATGCTAGGAAATTTGATGAATTTGCATTTTGAAGAGAGGGTCGATGGTAGAAATAATTTCGAGTTTTTAAGTTTCACTCTTCCTTGTTAGTCTGTGCTAGAGTTTTGTTTTTTGTTTCTTAAATTCTGGAGACGTGCCACTGATTTCTAATACTTGACAAATTGCCACATGCCCCTGTTTAAGGGCCACTTGTAGGAAGTCATCTAGATCATTAGGGGAATCTGGTTTCGTAGTTGTATCTTTGTTACAGCAGAATGTGTGCACTTAATTCTTAGAGTGATACCTTGAAAAAGAATTCGTTGATGTTTATTTAGGATTCAGTGTTTTGTCCCACCATGATTTGATATGCTAACTCACTGGGAATGGGGAAACATACTTCATAATTTTCAACATGGATGCAAAAGATTTATGATGCTCATCATTCATTTACTAATCTGTTTTCTTCTCAGGTGTTTTGGGGAACGAGTTTAGTATATTAAGATCCCCGGGGTCCGTTGTGTTCCGCGATGGAAATTGGCCTATACCAGGAGAGCGAATCCCAGATGTGGCTGCATTATCCATGGGCTTCTCTGTGAAAGAAGTATGTGTATTTAAATATATATATTTGGGCCCCGGCGGGTAGCTCAGTTGATTGGCGTGTCATCCAACAATTAAGCTGCAACACATAGTAACTGAGCGATCATGTGATGTAGCAGAGGCGGCCGGGACCCAGTGAGTATGAGGAATGCCCAGCTGTGCCCCAGAAGAAAAGGGATTCCGTTTGCTCCGTCTTCCTGTCATCTCCCATTTTATAAGTTTGGTGCTTTTGATGTGGCCTCCAGATATCATCCATCACTCAGAGGAGCTGTCCTCCGAGGTCCTGGCTGCCCTTGAAACCAGAAGCAATGCCTGGGAGGGGCTCCTGAGCTCCTAGCATGAGCAGGACTGGCGGTTACATTTAAGGATGGGATCTGTACTTTGTTCTTTACAGACTTAAATTTGATTACAAATGGCAATTAAGGTAACCTTTAGAAATAATTATTAGTGAACTAATATGAGTTACTTTCAGCAGGAATTTTGTTTTATTTATAAAGAGCTTAGTCTAATGAAAAAAATTTTTTGAGAATCTATGTGAGAGAGAAACATCGATCAATTGCCTCCTGTACACTCTCCGACCAGGGATTGAACCCGAAACCTGGTTACGTGTCATGACCGGGAATTGAACCCACAAACTTGGTGCATGGGACGATGCTCCAATGAACTGAGCCACCCGGCCAGGGCTAATGAGACTGAGTGACAGAGAACAGTGATGTAGGTAAGGACAAGCAGTGAGGGGGGAGATGCCATGGTTGTAAGAAGACAAGGACATTCTGTCATCTGGAATTTGCAAAGTACCTATGTTTTGTTCACTTGCCTGCGGTTTTCCATCAGAGATTTGCGGTGACTTGCTATTGAACGTTATTGCTGAAATGCGTAGAAGTTTTTAAGCAAATGGAGGTAGAAATGCGCATCCTTGCTCAGGCGGTTGCAACTACTACCTGGACTAAAACGTCTGCTCTCCTGTGACGCTCACCGCCAGTGTCCGCAGAAGCCCTGAGCTCTCTTCACTGCAGGCTCCCGGCATGCTTTCCCGAGTTGCTAACTCAGCACCGTTTCCCGCTTTTCCACGTTTAGGACCTTTCTTGGCCGGGCCTTGCCGTGGGAAACCTATTCCATCGTCCTCAGGCCACCGTGATGGTGCTGGTGAAGGGGGTGGACAGGCTCGCGCTGCCCGCAGGCAGCGTCATTTCCTACCCGCTGGAGAATGTGAGTATTGCACCGATCACCAGGGTGCGTTTTTCATTCCGTCTTGTCAGCTGTCACTATGAACTGCGTTCTAAGCACACTTGTCTTTTTTTGGATGCGCTGATTGATAAGTAAAACAACTTCTGTTACAAAAAATGACGTGGTGGCTGTAAATGTACGGAGACGTGTCGTTCCCTGAGCCTGGGAGTCTGTCTGAGATAAAAGGCACAGATGCCCCCCTCGGCAGAGTCAGAGGCTCGAAAAGCTGGAAGTAGTTGCGGTGTCTCCCGCCGACACCGTCTCGGGCGTTATCTTGTCACTCTCCCTTCAGAATTTCACCTCGTTGTCCTGTAAGGAGACTGGAGGCTGACAGCTGTCGTGAGGGACCCTCCTTCCACTACAAGTACCGAGAAGCCACCGAACACAAGGAGCGGTCCCTGTAATGTTTCCTTTTCCTTCACATCAGGCAGTCCTCTGGCTCATTAGCTTCTCCAGCGTGATGGTTAGGGACGTGTTACCTTCCGTCTTCAGCTTTCCTGCCACGCGTGCCCCCTCACTAGGCGCAGTGAGGCCGGAGGACTGGGTACATGTCCTCGTGTCCCCCCCGCCCCCCCCCCCCCCCCGAGTCGGAGGCAGGGAACTGGCTGGTTGCAAAGCAGAGCTCTGTGGCTGACTCAGGATGCTTCTGCAAGCTTGAACGTTCTCCTCTCTTCTTCAGTTGCTCATTAACTCAATGATTTTGTTTCACAGTATCATGAATGGTGGGATTTGATCAGTAAGATTTATATAATCACAGTAATTTCTGCCTGTACCATGTTAGCATTACTTTGCTGCTTATAAACATGAACCTTTTAATAGTAAAAGGCATTACTATAAGAAATCTCCATTAAAGCAAAACCATTACTGCTATACTGCTTTTTGTTTTTTTTAAGTATATATTTTTATTGATTTCAGAGAGGAAGGGAGAGGGAGAGAGAGATAGAAACATCCATGATGAGAGAATCATGGATCGGCTGCCTCCTGCACGCCCCACACTGGGGATCGAGCCTGCAACCTGGGCTTGTGACCTGATTGGGAATCAACCATGACCTCCTGGTTCATAGGTCGACGCTCAACCACTGAGCACAGCAGCCAGGCTATACTGCTTGTTTTAATACCACAATATTAAGAATAAAATAATTATTTTGAGGGGAAAATTACTGCAACTTATTGTTAAAACTAATGTAGGGCAAAAAGAGATCGGTGAGGCTAGAAGTCAAACTTTTGGTTATTTTTGGGGGTGAGTGGGGAGGCTTCTAGGGTGCTGATAATGTTCGGTCTTGATCTGGGGGGATTATATGAGTGTATCCATTGTAAACATTCCTTGAGCTGTTACCCCAAGATTTGTGCACTGTATTGCATGTATGTTACACTTTAATAAAAAAAGTTCAAGGAAAAAAACGATTTTACCCCAAGTGGTTATTTCAATTTAATACCATGTGCTCCTACGATAAAAGACCTATGAAATTCTGTGACATACTTCATGCCTTGTCTAAGAGTCTTCAGTATATCTGAAGACAAACCCTAAGTCTTTTTAAACATTTTTAAAATTTTGAAATGAAAAATGAGGTCTGTTCTCTTTCAATTAAATTCAAAATCTTCTGACCTGCTTTGTTTTATTAAATGTATTGGGGTGACATTGGTTAGTGGCATCGTATGGGTTTCAGGTGTATTCTGACCTCTTGAATGAGAGTTAATACGTTATGGTAGAATATCCATTCTTTGTCGCATGTTTAATTAATATTGAGACCAAAGGCACTGCTGTTTGAAATACACACATGACCATTAGAAAAGGATGTTTATGCAGGTAGCATTGCGTCCATGGGGTTTGGAGGTTATTTCCTGTTTGGGCACATTGGGGGAAAGGCTCATTGGCCCACTGGGAGGCTGTCTGACCTTCCGTATCCTCAAAGGGCTCTGTTTGGATGTGATTTGGGTCTTTTGAATTTCCCTAGAAAATGCTGATGCCTTTTTTTTTTTTTTGAGGCTCCTTTTTAAATACCATCTGAATGATTTTTCTTCCCACTTTGGTTGAGATAATAATCCAGGTCTTCCTCTTAAATTTCAGGCGGTTCCTTTTAACCTTGACAGTGTTGCAAATTCCATTCACTCCTTATTTTCTGAAGAAACTCCAGTAGTTTTACAGTTGGCTCCCAGCGAAGAAGTAAGTGATATACTTTTTATTTACGATGCTTTAAGAAATTAGCTCTCATTAGTTAATAAAAACTTAAAAGCAGTTTTAGGAACAATGCCGCCAGACCTCTGTACATTGGGCTTACTCTGGAGAACACAGCTTAAACTTCTGGATTCTTCTTGCAGAGAGTGTACATGGTGGGGAAGGCAAATTCAGCTTTTGAAGATCTTTCAGTAACGTTACGACAGCTCCGCAGTCGCCTGTTTCAAGAAAACTCTGTTCTCAACTCCCTTCCCCTCAATTCCCTGAGCAGGAACAATGAAGTAAGTATAGTTACCGAATGAACAAGTTAATTTCATTACTGCTTTCCCCTTTCTTATGCTCCTGACTTTTGCAAATTTATGGCTGGAGTAGATTCCTCTTTCCTCTAGTGTAGTTTGCTCATGAACTACATGAGTAAACTCCTTTGGCGAGTTGAACTGTAGTAGTAAATAGTATTACATTCTCGCATGAGGGTTGTCACCAATTAATCTGGACAAACCAGAAATCATGGGATTTACTTGGCGGCTGATGGAGCTGGGCCAATCTGGCAGTGTGGGTGCCATCATTCACTGCCACTTCTGATGTGTTACCTCATTTTTCTAGTTCATTCTTCTTTCTTTCTTTCTTTCTTTTTTTTTTTTTTTTTGCTAATCCTCACCTGAGGATATTTTTCTAGTGAATTTTAGAGAGTAGAAGGCAGGGGGAGAGACAGAGAGAAACATCAACGTGAGAGAGAGGCATCGATTGGTTGCCTCCTGCACATACTCTGACCAGGGATTGAGCCTTGGCCGGAATAGAAGCCGGGACCCTTCAGTCCTCAGGCCGACACGCTATCCACCTAGCCAAACTGGCTAGGGCTCTAGTTTATTCTTGACAGTGCAGTGGAGGGAGCCACCCTTACTGATGACTCAGGTCTGTCAGTTTCACCACCCGCTCATGCACCCTCTTAACCACATGGCACGCCACCTTTCTGGCACCCTCCCCTCCTCCTATGGTTGACCAGGACCACCGCCTTTTATTCTCCAATGTAGAACATGCTCAAGGGATGTGAGCAAACTGGGCCACTGGCAGGACCTCGCTGCAGTGTGCCAGAACATTCTGACGCCCTGAGGGAAAAGTGTAGAGTTTAGATGCTTTATCTATAGCTTTATCAGAAATATGGCTATTGAGCCCTGGCTGGGAGGGCTCAGTTGGTTAAGTGTCATTCCGTACCAACAGGTCACCGGTTCAATTCCCTGTCAGGACACATGCCCAGGTTGTGGGTTAAATTCCCTAGCAGGGGGTGTGCAGGAGGCAACCAATCGATGTCTGTCTGTCTGTCTCTTTCTCTCCCTCTCTCTCTCTCATTCTCCCTCCACCCCTTACCCCGCCTCCCCCTCTCTCTAAAAAATCAATAAAAACATTTTAAAAAAAGAAAGAAATGCAGCTACTGAGTAGTGGTCACTGTGCTGGGAATGACCATCCCCTTTCTGTTGGGAAATGATGTCTTATATGTATTTTCCATTGACATGAACCTACCAAATGGAGGACAACTGTTGCATAAGCTCACTTATGTGCTTAACATTTGTACTACCCTGCGCCTTACTTGATAAATGGCAAACACAGACCAGCGATGCATATTTAAGACACTGCACATTTCTTTCGGCTCTGCAGGTCGATCTGCTCTTTCTTTCTGAACTGCAAGTTCTACATGATATTTCAAGTTTGGTGAGTAGGCTGCTCTGATTTTTTCAGTCCCATTTATTTTGGTGCCAGAAGACACTTCTAGAGAATCTTTGCATGATAATGAAACCAATAGAAAAGGTGGATCAAGTATGCCCTGGATTTATTTATGATGCCATGGAAGTTGAGGAATTGGTGGTGGTGGTGGGAATTTTGAACTCATCCATCTCTTGTTAATCAAATTATTTTGGATTTCTACTCTTAGGAGATAGTAAGTATATCCTCCAAGAACACAGGACTTGAGTGGGCCGCCCTAGCTGCAGCCCTGACTTGGCTATTGATTTCTTGTCAGACATTAAGACTTAAATCCTGTATCTAAAATAGAAACAACAGTTTGGACTAACAAAGCTGTCCACCAAGTCAGGAAGGGAATAAATCTGCCGAAAGGGTATTTTTGGTGAATTATTTTTTCACAAAAATCCTCCCGTGATTGAAACAGAAAAATGTACCTGTTTGCTGTCTACTGAAGTCGTTGCCCAAACTTTTTCAGCAGGGCTGGTTCCGGGAGCTGGAAGCCCAGTCCGGGAGGCCACCGGGGGGTCCAGGAGGGCGTGTGGGAAGTGTCTGCTCTGAGCATTGATGGCTCATGTTCTGGGATGAGACTGGTCCAACCATCTGTTCTTTCATATCTGAAGTTTTTAGAAGAAAATTTAAAAAGAGCTTTTATTAAATATTCATGTAGTCCTGGAACTGCTCTTAAAAATGAGATTTATGTTGGATTTATTGGAAACTCCCATTTAAACCAGCTCCATTTGCCGCCATTTTTTAGACTATTTGTGTGTTGTGGCACATGGGCTGGTTCTGTTCAGCCTAGTTTAGTTGGGCATAAAACTTCACTTGGCTGTGTTTGACATTTCATCCACTTCCTTTTGTTTGTTCTCCTCAGTTGTCTCGACATAAGCATCTAGCCAAGGACCATTCTCCTGACTTATATTCACTGGAGCTGGCAGGTTTGGATGAAATTGGGAAACATTACGGAGAAGATTCTGAACAATTCAGAGATGCTTCTAAGATCCTTGTTGATGCTCTACAAAAGGTAAATTATCAGTGGGGTATAAGAGGTCACAGTATGACCATCTCACTTTTAGCCTCTTAATGGAAAAGTCTCTTTAGGTGAAATACTTAATGTTGCTTGAACTCTTCCGCTCTTTGGAGAACTTCTAATTTTAGTGGCCAAGGATGGAGTAGAGCAAAGACGTATATGTATACTGGGACATCTGGAACGCTGGCAGAGGCAGCGTAGGAAATGATGGATAACTCCATCCAGCACAATACCTTTTTCTTCTCATCGTGCTAAAATATACGTCACATAAAACTTACCACTTTAATCATTTTTAAGCATAGAGTTCTGTCACAGTAAGTACATTCAAGTTGTTGTGCAACCACCACTGCCATCCATTACTAGAACTTTCATCTTCCCCAACTGAAACTCTGTCCCCATTAAACACTATGAAATAACCAAAGGGGAGCACCAAGCCAGTAGCAGACATTTAGTAGATAATGTAATAAATGCTCATTTCTCTTGCTCTTGAAGTTACTCGCCTGTAACTCTTTAATGAGGTTTCACAGTAAATCTTTGTAGATGTTTGTGATTAACCAGAGACCATTTAGAAAGATTCTTTTATTTCCCTTCCCTACTTCCCTTCTCCCAGCTTATATGCCAAAAATCCAGGCCCTTAAAGTTATTTGGAACATTTGAATGTATGTTGAGACTTGCCTGTTCTAAGCTTGTATTTCATGAGCCAGTAGGTAGGTATGTTGTTCTTGTAGATGCATAGAAGCTTCACAAAGAACTCAAATAAGCATGTAGTTAAGATTGATGTAATGTCACTAACTCCTCAGTTTGCAGATGACATGTATGGTCTCTATGGTGGGAATGCAGTGGTAGAGCTGGTGACTGTCAGATCGTTCGACACATCCCTTGTGAGGAAGACCAGGACTATCCTTCAGGCAAAACAAGAGGTGAGCACATTTTGAGATCCTGCTTTAAAACTGCGACATTGACTTTAAAAAACCCACTAAATCTCAAGTCACCTATGGCAGTTGAACCCGTTTATACTTAATCAACAGCGTGTGTTATCATCTCCTTGAAAGCTCCCTTCTTGGTTCCTCCTCGTATAAGCTCTTATGCCACTTAGGAATAAATGCTTGTTAGAGAGATGAATCAGAGCTACTGCATTGGGGTAATTTCCTATCTTAAAATTCTTCCCTCTTGATTTTCTTTCTTCATTGTAGAAGAACCCATCAAGTCCCTATAATCTTGCTTATAAGTATAATTTTGAGTATTCAGTGATTTTCAACATGGTACTTTGGATAATGATCGGCTTGGCCTTGGCTGTGATTATCACCTCTTACAATATTTGGAACATGGATCCTGGATATGATAGCATCATTTACAGGATGACAAACCAGAAGATTCGAATGGATTGAACTTTCCTTAAGTCAAACTTAGAAAAGGGGTTTGGAAATTGGCTGTTTTGTGAAAATAAATCTTTCAGGGTACAGTAGACAGTACACTTTAAATGTTTTTAAAAGCAAATTTTGTTCTCTATTTTGTGTGTGCCTGTGAGGTTGTTTTAGAATGAATTATAGTATTGATGTGAATTGTTTGTGTAACAGATTCCGTAATATGCTCAATTATGATATAACCAGTAATTATAATTTCATTCCATTTAGTATTTGAAAATAATGCACTGAAATAAATGTAAAACATTTAGAATAGCTTGTGTTATTTATGTTGACAAAATGCACTGAATTTATTAAGATTATGAATGCTTAACTTCCTTACAGGATAGGTGAAAATGCTATTTGGGTTGTTATGTACTATGAGCTATTATAAATGTCTTAATTTGATGTAAGTATCTCTGAAACAAGAGAAGATTTTTAACTTTAGAGCAGCTCTAGACTATGCATGTGCATATACAGTCACTCAGATTTGGAACTGCATCTGTTTTTCAACCTCTTGAAAGTTTGCTGATCCGATGGTCTAGTGTGGATATTAAAAATATTAAAGCTAAGAAGAAATAGCTTTGTGGAGTTATAAATCCTCATAATTATACAGATAGGACAAATATTTGAGGGATGTCTAGGGTCATGAATATAAAAATCTCTTTATTTCAGTAACTTTTCTCTGTGTAAGTTACTATGGTTCGTGGTACAATGTCGTTATCAAAGACTAAGTGTAGATGTTCCTACTTTTGATGTGGAAGTGGACCAATGTCTGTGAAGAGTGACAAATAAAGTTAATGATTCCAAATCTGTGTCATTTCAATACTGAATCTATTTTATATGGTAAAACCCTAACTAAACAGGATTTTATTTCATCGGAATTGGCTATTTTGTTACACAGTTTCATGCTTCTTTTTAACATTTGTTTATTCTCATTGCCTCCTGAGGTTGTACCAGATAGAAGCTTGACACTTTGATCACCACTCCTCTGTCAATTCACACTAGACTTTAGGAAGGAAAGGCTTAAATTTCCCTATAGTATAGCATTTTCAAAGACGAATAAGCAACTAACTGGTTAGAATATGAAGGACTATCCAAAGCAGAGGCTTAAAGGTTATAATTTTCTTAAATGACTTACATATTAGAATTTAAAATTTCACGATGATGTAAATTATTTTATGAGAGTTATGCTGCCCTGCCCCTGGGTACCCTACGTGGGTTTAGTATCAGCTGTTGCTGCCTCTTTGGAAAGGCCATCAAATCATTTCTAAGTAACATTGAGGGTCGGCAGATTTGAGAAAACGGAGTCTATTTGATTGTGTTTTCTACCACTTACTGCCGCAGTGTTAAGCATCCACAGCGTGGAGGAAATATTTGTTTTCTTTTTGCCTCCCATTAAACTATAAATAATAATGAAGCTGAGAGTCAACTCCACAGGGAAGACAAACTACACTGTTCTAAAATCACTCAAGTATTCTCCACCGCTACCCACTGCCAAGTTTATGGGGTGAGGGTTGTTCAGTTGCCTAGCCCCAAATACTGACCCCCATGGGACCCCTAAGGGCCTGTGTTTGGGAAGCAGGAATCTGGAATGCTGCAGTGATTAAAATTCATTTTTCTTCCACAAGTTTCTTCTATAAACAGTGCATAAAAGTTAGATTGTTATGATTAACAATGAAGTAAACCAATGCCTTTGTAATTTAAAACTGATGACTTTTAAGTTCTAGGGGAAGAAAAAAATTAATTACATGACAGCACTAATCCTTATAGGGTAAATGGCATCAGCACCCTTCTATCTGTGTTAGACAGAAAGCAATTAATTAAAATAAATGTTCTGCCAAGATTATTATACCTGTTGCTGATGATTTGCTCTTAAATTAAGTCTCATTTGTTCAGGAACATAAATCACAGGGTGTGAGAGGCAGGAAAGCCAGACTCATGGCTGATATTCCACTGGCATTGAAAGAGAAAAACCCAATCACTTCATATCTAATTGGTAGAATATTCTGGGTTTATAAAACATCTGAGATTTTACATGTGGTAGATACTGCTTATAGCCTAATTCTATTAGGAATAATATTGAATCGATTTTTATTTTCTTTTGCTATGTCTTTCTAAAAAATATTTTTTTTTATTGATTTCAGAGAGGAAGGGAGAGGGAGAGGAAGAAACATCAATGATGAGAGAGAATCATTGATCAGCTGCCTCCTGCACACGCCACACTGGGGATGGAGCCTGCAACCCAGGCCCAACCAGGAATCAAACTGCGACCTCCTGGTTCATAAGTTGACACTCAACCACCGAGCCACACTGGCCAGGCTATACTTAGACACTTTAAGACTATGTTTATATCCCATTTTTCATCCTACTTTTACCCATTCATTTTAGCATCCATTAATGATTCTTGCCTGAAATAATTATTACTGTGGTGTTAGCCAAATAATGATTTTCTCAATTATTCCTAATATACTTACTAATTGGAATTCTGTAAAGAGCTTTCCCTTCTCTCCCATTAATTTGCCTATTCTATTTATACTAGAGGCCCGGTGCACGAAATTCATGCATGGGTAGTGTCCCTAGGTCTGGCTGGTGATCAGGGCTGATTGGGGCCTTCCTTCCCCTTCTTTCCACACCACCCCCTGGTGGTCAGCGCACATTATAGCAAGCGAGCGAACTCCCGATCTCCCGGTCAAACTTCCAAGGGGACACTTTGCATATTAGCCTTTTATATATATATATATAGATTACCTGAACTCGTGGATATTTGTCTTAGTCTCTGTGTTATAACCCATTACTGGATTATAATCATTTATTTTGTCACTCAATTGTCCCAGATTTAGCCAATGGGAGCCCCTTTCTTTGGCGCCTGTGTCCTTTTGACATGTCCTCATTATTTTCTGAGCACTTGTTACTAAATATCAAGTAAACCACCTCTATGTGATACCTTTATGTGATGGAGAGAAAGATGGGTGGGACAAGGAAGGAAAGAAAAAGGGATATCCTTTAGAACATATAAGCATAACACATGAGAGAATGAGGAAGGAATCAGGGGGTAGATGTTCTTGCCACCTCAAAAGATAACAAGGTTTTGGGTGGTTTTTGTGAGTTTTTTATCTCCTCTATCAATATTCCCTCTACCTTCGGCTACCCTTGGAAGATCCAAGGAGTCTATGGTAACTAGCCAGTGGGCCCGGGGGCCATAGACTGGTGCAGGTCTGGGCTGTTAGCAGTTTGCGATGCGATAAGTGTTGAGAAATTTTTATAGCAATTTGATGTTATGATAGCCAAACACATGATCAACAGACTCATCTCAGTGAATGAGGCACAGACCAGTTTGGATACTGGAAAGTATGGTGAGTCACAGAGAGCAGGCTGTCCTAGTCATGCACCACAAACCATGCTGTAATGGAAGATAGGCTAAGGTTAGTTTGCCAACTGTTACCCACAAGTATATCACATTCAGAATTTATATTTAACTTTTACATCATAAATTGTTAGAGCTGGATGAAGATTTGAAGACATTTTGGGAATAAATCATCGCTTGCTTTTATTTTGGATGAGAATTAAAAATGAATATCCTGAACTTTCTGAATTACTTTAAAATATCTTCTTCCTTTCCTGTCAACAGCTCTGTGAGACTAGTTTCTCTACTATAAATGTTAAGACCAAAGAAAGAAACAGTTCAGCTATATATCATCCCTACATAAGCACTGCCAACAATCCAACCTCAATGAGATAGGCTAACAAGCAACCACGCTTATTTGTCACATTTAAAAAAATTTTTTAAAATATATTTTATTGATTTTTTACAGAGAGGAAGGGAGAGGGATAGAGAGTTAGAAACATCGATGAGAGAGAAGCATCGATCAGCTTCCTCCTGCACACTACCTACTGGGGATGTGCCCGCAACCAAGGTACATGCCCTTGACTAGAATCGAACCTGGGACCCTTAAGACCGCAGGCCAACGCTCTATCCACTGAGCCAAACCGGTTAGGGCACATTTAAAGTTTTTAAATAATCCCCGGCCCCCGTGGCTCAGTCGTTGAGCATTAACCTATGAACCAGGAGGTCATTGTTCGATTCACGGTCCAGGCACATGCACAGGTTGCAGGCTCGATCCCCAGTGTGGGGCATGGAAGCAGTCAACCCATGATTCTCTCTCATCATTGATGTTTCTATCTCTTTCTCCCTCACCCTTCCTCTCTGAAATCAATAAAAAAAAATATTTTAAAAAACAAAACTTTAAAATATTATTATTCATGGGTTTTAAGGTGTGCATATAGGTAGTTAATGTGGGAGAACTGCTTTGACTCGTAACTTTTTATTTAGTTACAACTGTGTAATGATAAAGTTATGAATATACTAGTAAATAGTGATTAACTGCCTATATATATTCACTTTCAATGAATGCACAGTTTTTATAAATTTTTCTGATTATATTGATTTAAAATGCAATTTTTCCCTGGCCGGTGTGGCTCAGTTAGTTGGGCACTGTCCCATGAACAGAAAGGTTGCTGGTTTGATTCCCAGTCAGAGCACATGCCCAGGTTTTGGGCTTGATCCTCAGTAGGGAGCATGCAGGAGGCAGCCGATAAATGTTTTGCTCTCACAATGATGTTTCTCTCTCCCTTCCTTCCTCTCTCTAAAAAAAATCAATAAAATATCCTTTTATTTTTTAAAATATATTTTTATTGATTTCAGAGAGGAAGGGAGAGGGAGAGAGATAGAAACATCCATGATGAGAGAGAATCATGGATCGGCTGCCTCCTGCATGCCCCCCCACTGGGGATCGAGCCTGCAACCTAGGCTTGTGCCCTGACCAGGAATCAAACCCGGGACCTTTCAGTCTGCAGGCTGACACTCTATACACTGAGCCACACATCTAGGGCAATAAAAAGTCATTTTAAAAAATGCAATTTTATCTGTTGAATATAAAACAATTACGCTTGTATTTTTTCTCATTACAAATGTCATTTGCATTGTATTTTACAAGAGTACTGGGCCACAATGGATTTAAAATTAAAAATTTAAAGCTGGTCCTTTCCCACAGCACAGACGGAGGGCCCCAGGGGAGCCCCTGCTTGTCTTCACCCCACTCCCACCCTGTGTGGCAAAACCCTGTTTGTTCTTTCAGAGGAAGAAGAAGGTGCTATCCAGCTAGGAACTCTGTCCACAAAATGCCTGGGAGTAGAAAAAAATAATTAATTCAATGCAAAACTACTGTAAGACAAAAACAGAAAAAAATCAGCTAACAAAAATTCTCCCCATAAAAGCCAACCATGAAAAATCCAAACTAAATATACTTAAACACATGTTTTTCAATATAAAAAATCCTAAAATCAGAAATGTAAAAACTAAGAATGGAAAAGGACAGACAGGTAGAAATAAATGCGAGAGAGTTGATTGAACTTGGGAAAGAAATTGAAGTCAAAGTAAAAGACAACCATTTCAAATGAATAAATTACAAGGAACCCAAAGGAGAATAGATTCAAATGAAAATCTAATAAAGGATACAGCATAAAGATGGAAAACCAGGTAAATAAGAAAAAAGGGTCAGAAAAAAAAGTAGTTGAAATAGAAAATATACAAGAAAAAAAAAAAAAACAATGGAAGAGAGCTAATTTTTCAAAACTAATTCAAGAAAACTCCATAAATAAGAAAAGTCTACATATTGAAAAGGCCCACCACATACCTGGGAAAACTGACCTGAGTCTATCAACTCAGATGTATCTTAATACAATTTTATACTTTAGCGACAAAAGAAAGATCTTAAGGGCTTCCAGGCAAAAGGTCAAATCTATCTTACCTAAT